GTTACCTATTTGGATTCCTTTTATTCCTTTTTCTTGCCTAATTGCTCTGGCCAAAACCTCCAGTACTATGTTGAACAGGAGTGGTGAGAGTGGGCAGCCCTGCCTCGTTCCTGTTTGAAGGGACTCTTTTGATCATCCTCTTAATTTTCCCATCTTTATTTCTAAAATCTCTCTTGCGTCTAAAAACATGAGGCTGGTTGGTCTTTATCCCATCAATTTGCATGCGTGACTTTGGCTTTCAACTTATTCTGTCACATTTTGCCATAGTAAATAGATGATATAGTTTCCCCACAGTGTGGCAGGGAGAGGTTGGCCTGTAGTTTTGAGTTTAAATAAGAAGTTTTTAGCAACCCATTTTCAGTTATCTACAGCATCTGTAAGTTGGTAGGGTAAATTGTATAAATTGGGACTGTCTAGCCAATAGTGAAATTTTGAGTACAAGTTACAGGTGTTTTTTAAAATTCCTTTTTATTGTGAAATGTATCATCTGTCTAGAAAATTGCATAAAATATGTTCAGTTTAACAAATTATTATAAAGTGAAAATCAACGTAACTACCACAAGATCAAGAAAGAGAACATTGCTAGAACCCAGATGCTTCCTGACCACAACCCCTTCCTCCCCCCAGAAGTAAACACTATCCTAATGCTTATGATAGTGATTTCTGTTTTTATAGTTTTATCACCCATTTATGCATCCCCCAAGTAATTTAGACTTGCTTGTTTTGAACCTTTTATAAATATAATCATCCTGCATATATTCTTATATTTTACTTCTTTCACAACCTAATGTTGCTCCGTTTTATTTTTACTGCCATGTTTTCTTAGTCAGTTTTTACTGGACCACCTCAAGCTTTGATTTTGGTTTTCACTGTGGTGCAGGAGCTCTCAGAGAGGTAGGAAGAGAATCAGGATGTTGTGGCCAACAGAAAAGGATGCTTCGTGAAGGAAACAGCAGTCATTGGTTTCAGGTGTTGCTGAAGGATCACCATGCAGAGTAAGAGAAAAGCACTTAATTGTACAAATAGGAAGCCATATGATCATTAAGGGAGGAGTTCCAAAAGCAGATTGAGGCTAGAAGCCAGATTGTAAGGTAGCGTGAACAGAGGCAGCAGGAACTTGTTTGGTAAATGAAGTTGCCTTCAAAGGTAAGAAGTAGGCAAAGTTGATTGGCAGAGGCTGCTGCCCCCTCTATGTGAAGGCAAGGAGAAGACACAAGAAAGGGAGTGTGTGGGAAAGCAAGGGCCCTTTGAAAATGAGAGGGAATAGGGCTGACAGCACAGGTAGAGGAGTTGGGTTTAGAAAGGAATTAGGCGTAACTTTTCTTCAAAGTCAAGGACGTGAAAAGAGGCCAGATGTGGAGTCAGAAAGTTGTTGATGTGAACATGAGTCCAGATGGGGGAACTCATAACAGGCAGTAGTTCAGAAGAGATGCTGTCTTGTTAGGCGCACACAGGGGTGTATTAAAACATTGAGGAGTGAAGGCCTGATTGAAGGCAGTGACACAGAGAAGGAACTTCTTCCCCTTATTCACCCTGTTAGCTGGGACAGATCGTGTTCTCTGTTGTCTCAGTTTCCCCATCTGTAAAATGAGACAATTGGATGAAATTATTTCTGAATTCTTTGCTCTCTGAAGATGGCCATGAAGGAGATTCCAGATACTACATAATTACGCTGAAATATCATGATCTTTCTTAAAGCTCTTTTGTAAAGCACGCTGAACATTTTTAGAATAATTTCCCTTTGACTAAACCTAATATGTGAAAATATAAGTCGGTCAATTAAGAACGTTAAAGATTATTCATTTTATAAAGAGATGCATCGCTTTACCAAAAAATTCTTTTAAACAGTAAGATGCCATGATGCATTTAAAACAATTCATTTTACAAAAATCATATTCATTCCTAGCTCCTCTGGAGCATGTAAAAGGAGGAACATTTGTGGAGGTGAAAGTTTAATGTAACATTAAATCCCAGCGTGACTTTTCACCTGCTAATTTGCCAGTTATTGTTTCACTTCATTTAAGTTTCTGCTCATATGTGACTTCCTCAGGGAGTCCTGTCTAAAAATAGCTCTCCCATCAGTCTCTGTCCTCTTATCCTGTGTTATTTTTTTATAACACTATCAGTACCAGACATTTTATTATATATTTATTTGTTTGTCTATTTCCACCATTGGAATGTGAGAGCTATAAAGACAGAGCTTGTTGTATTCTTGCCATAGTCCTGGGGCCTAGAACAGTGCCTGGCATATAGGAGATGTTCAATAAATATTTGTTGAATGGATGGATGAATGAATGAATCTCACTCTGTTGCAATCTGTAGCAAAATTGATATTGAATCCAGAAAAATTTCCAGGATTCTTATATTGTGATTTCTAGGGTCCAAGGACTACCAGCTGGTTACGTGGTCACGGGATCAGACCTTGAGAATGTGGCGGGTGGATTTCCAGATGCAGAGGGTATGTATTCAATGCTATTGTGGAGGAATGTAACTAGATACACCAGAAACTTTTAAAAAAATACAAGATTTGGTATTTGTGGAAGTTAGAGGATATGTGATAGACATTTAATATATACTTGCTGGTTGGCTGAGTGGCTTGTGTATGCCACACTGAGCCTTTGAGGCCTTCAAGAGCCAACTTCGGTATTCAGCACTTTAAGGCTGAAAAGCTTCTGAATGTCTTTTTTTCTCTTGTCCTTGTATAACAGGGTGTGGGTAGCGTACTGAGCAAATGGCCTGTGGGCTTCATTTCTTTCTCTTCTTCTAAGTGGGCTCAGAAGTCTACTTTCGCACTCTATGATGTTCAGAGCCCTTTGTGTCCATCAACAACACCTATTCTATGAAGCCATTTTGCCCCATGAATGATATCTGTTTCTTAATGAACCATGGTGGTGCCTGGTGTGAACTGCTTTTGTGGCCCTTGCTTTGCTCTGCCTCATCGCAGGGTTCTGTCTTCTCATTCGGTGGCTAAATTCCTTGAAGGCAAGAAACATGTCTCACTGGTATTGCCTACCCCACAGTGCTCTGTATAGTGTGGATAGAAAATACCAGGTAAAGTTTGCGACACTGCTTAGTACGAAGTCACACTCGAGCATTTTGGTCAAGTATCATCACCTTATTGCCTTTCAATTGTATTTTCTCCAAAAAGTACCATTTGCTCTAAGTGCTTTGAAGGTTATGCTATTTTTGGTCTTAGGTTGGCTGATTAACTCCATCAAGGCTTGAAATTTAAAGTGATGTTTTCTGAGGCTTGCATAAACTATGAACAGGATGAAAAATTTCCAGGATAGAATGATAGAGTCTCGGGGCCAGCCCCATGGCTTAGCGGTTAAGTGCGTGCGCTCCGCTGCTGGCGGCCCGGGTTCGGATCCCAGGCATGCACCGACGCACCGCTTCTCCAGCCATGCTGAGGCCGCGTCCCACATACAGCAACTAGAAGGATGGGCAGCTATGACATACAACTATCTACTGGGGCTTTGGGGGAAAAAATAAATAGAATGATAGAGTCTCTTCTCCTGGTGTTTAAACAGGGAGAGTTGGTGATGGGTAAAATCTCTTTTGATTGTATCGGTTTTGGGCTGACATCTCTATCCTTTGTGATTCCCATTTTTAAGTCAGAACTCTAACCAAACACGATGATCATTTCCACTGACTTCTCTAGACCTAGATCTTCTATGCTTTGTTGCAGCTTTGTGCAAATGACATATTAGATGGTGTTGATGAGTTCATTGAGAGCATTTCTCTTCTGCCGGAACCAGAGAAGACCTTTCACACTCCAGATATAGATCACCAGCACAACTCAAGCCATGGGGAGGAAGAAGGTAATTGGTCAAACTGACATTTTAGGTGAGGCCCTGCTACACATTTCAGAGTCGTGGCAGATACTCCAGAACTGCTCTCTGACTCAATTTCAGAAATTTTTCCAACAATTGAACCTCTCTGTCCTGCTAGTCTTAAAGGAAGATCCCCCGAGCAATCTCCTGGAAGAGAAGAAATCAGATCAGCTGGGACTGCCCCAGACTCTACAGCAGGAGTTTTCCCTGATCAATGTGCAGATCCGGAATGTCAATGTGGAGGTGCGGAGTAGTTTAGTGAACTCTCTGGTGCTTGCTGAGAGTTCATGGGAGAGGGGACTATTTCAGCTATGATTTTGGCTAGCAATTAGCTTTGCTGTTCTAACAGGTAAGTCTCTCCTCTTGCTTTTTTTATTTCCCAGGTTTTCTTAATAAATAGTGGTTTTAAAAATGTGGATTTTTTTCTTACCCTATTATTTTCTCATAAGATGAACCAAGGGATAAACTAATGCTTCTGTGCCTTAAAATCTCCTTAGATGCTCCAACACCTAAATTTTACCATATGTGAAGATACTTAGATCCAGGAGGCTTAGTGGTTTAGCAAAGGTTACTGGTGAAGTTAATGGTAGGGCTGTTTGGAGACCAAACCTCTTGACTCTCCAAGGCTCTTTGTGCTATCTTCCCTTAAAGCTGGTCCGTTCCTCGGTGATTTAGATTCAGAGTAAGAAGGTGACCAAGTGTCTTTGTTCACTTCACACATGGAGAGATTGACTCTTTTCCTTTGAGGCAGGTATTGAAATTCTTTGCTTCAGAGAATTGAATCTCTATAAAGAAGTTTTAAAACTTGATTAGTTTTTCTTTTGCCCAGATTCAGTTAACAGTTGGCATGGATATGTGCACTTACATAATTATCTCATTTGGCCTTTAAAATAACTTTGCAATAAGTGGTTTTATCACCACTTTACAGATGAGGAAACAGAGACACAGCAAGAGAAAATGGCTTGTGCAAGGTCTGCAGCTATTTTGTGGAAGAGATCATATTTGAATCCAAGTCTCCAGATTTCCCACGTGTGTCCCTCTTTTCACTGTACTCCAGCTGCCATCTCTAGTTGGCAGTACAAGAAATCAAAAGAGAGAAAGAATTCTTGATTAATTGGTTATCTGTATCAACTCAGTTTATACTCCCTTTGTCCCAGTTGAGAACAGTGTAGATACCTAGTGACCTAGTTAAAGAAGGTGATCTTGATTCCTTTCCCAGGGCTGCTTTTTTAAAATTATTGAGATAAAAGTCACATACCATAAAATTCACCCTTTTGAAGTGTACAATTTAGTGGTTCTTAGTATATTCAGAAAGTTGTGCAACCATCACCACTATCTGCTTCCAGGACACTTTCATCATCTCAAAAGAAACCCTATGTCCATTAGCAGTCACTCTCTATTCCCCTCACTCCCCAGCTCCTGGCAACCACTAATCTACTTTCTGTCTCTGTGGATTTTTCTAGGAGTACTTTTTAACTTGAGTCAGGTATTTAATTTCTTCCTGCTTTATTTTCCCATCTCAAAATAAATATAACAAGTTTTAGCCTATCTCACAGCTTTGCGATGAAGCTTTTTTAAGTCAAAATACTTTGAACTTATTAAATCAGTGCTAAACTTAAAAATCCGTTGTGAAGGGCCTGGCCTGGTGGTGTAGTGGTTAAGTTCGTGTGCTCTGCTTCGGCGGGCCAGGGTTCGCAGGTTTGGATCCAGGGCGCATACCAATGCACCGCTTGTCAAGCCATGCTGTGGCGGTGTCCCATATAAAGTAGAGGAAGATGGGCACAGATGTTAGCCCAGGGCCAATCTTCCTCAGCAAAAAGAGGAGGATTGTCAACAGATGTTAGCTCAGGGCTAATCTTCCTCACATACACACACACACACACACACACACAAATCCATTTTCAAAATGAGTTGTCCAAATCGTCCAAATTCATTTGTGTTTGGAGACTCTCTCCCTTCACCCAGTTACCAGGAATCTAGAGGATTCAGTTAGCTTACTTAAATCCGTTTGCATCTAAAGACCCTATGTGGATCGTCTCCAAAGCAGATGTCGATTTCCCTTGCAGATGGATGCAGCAGATAGGAGCTGCACAGTGTCTGTGCACTGTAGCAGCCATCGTGTCAAGATGCTGGTGAAGTTCCCTGCACAGTACCCAAACAATGCTGCCCCTTCCTTCCAGTTTGTTAACCCCACAACCATCACATCCACAATGAAAGCTAAGCTGCTAAAGGTGGGGATCTGTCTTCACAAATTCTCCTTGATGTTGCTAAGAGGAGAGCTCTGCTCATGTGCATCAGTGTCTGAGTTGAGTAGTAAAGTTGAATGAAAACTCCAATAGATAAGATTTGGAAGTCATCTGGTCCTTACACACTGTATTGTTAATAATTGCTGTTCATTTTGTGTTGAAAACAGAGCAGTGGTTCTTGACCTTTTTTGGGTTATGGACCCCCTTTGAAAGTCTAAGGAGAACTATAGACCCTTCCCCAGAAAAATTTGCATAAATGTAGTGTATAGTTTCAGAAATAGTACATATAAATAATATTCAGTTCTGTAATTGCTTATAATCACACAGATTAGTAAAGCTATGCATTAATCCCAGGTTAAGAACCCTGCGATATGGGCCGGCCCCGTGGCTTGGTGGTTAAGTGCGCGCGCTCTGATGCTGGCGGCCTGGGTTCGGATCCCGGGCGCGCACCGAGGCACCACTTCTCCGTCCATCCTGAGGCTGGGTCCCACATACAGCAACTAGAAGGATGTGCAGCTATGACATACGACTATCTACTGGGGCTTTGGGGGAAAAAATAAATAAATAAAAAATCTTTAAAAAAAAAACCCTGCGATACAATTTCATTTATCTGGAAACAATAGGCAAGATGTATTGTGAAGCTAAAAGATACTTCATAGTCAGAAAAAAGTATATAAGAGCATTAAAAAATCCTGGGGCTGGCCCGGTGGCATAGTGGTTAAGTTTGCGTGCTCCGCTGCGGCGGCCCGGAGTTGGCAGGTTTGGATCCCAGCGCGGACTGATGCACTGCTTATCAAGCCATGCTGTGGCGGCGTCCCATATACAGTAGAGGAAGATGGGCACGGATGTTAGCCCAGGGCCAATCTTCCTCAGCAAAAAGAGTAGGATTGGCGTCGGTTGTTAGCTCAGAGCTAATCTTCCTCACACACACAAAAAAATCCATTCCATAAAAGGAGATGTTGGCATCCTAGAGTGAGGCTGGCTGGCTGCACGGGTGAGGTGTGCAAAAGGATGGCAGTGCCTGAATGGAGGTGGTACAGCCGGCATCTACAGGTTCAGAAACTTGATTTGTCAGTTCATGCAGAACTAATCCAGCAGAATCCCCATGAAGAAGCCCCACCAGCTGGGGATGCTATACCTTTTTCAGTTTGAGCAGTGTCACACGTGAAACAACAGAAATATCCTGCCAAAACCAAGTTGAGCTGAATGCTGTTCACCTTTTGCCTAGTTTGTATCATATACACTTGATTGCCCCATCTTCTTGGGGTATGATATGTAACCAAGAAATTTTTCAAGTGGCGTAAGGATCTCTGAAATGCTCATTATTCAGATTTTGTGGTATTTGACATTTGGTACTTGGAATCTAAATATTTAATTGCTTCATTTGGACATACAAAAAAGATAGATTTTTCTGTTGGTATAAACATAATAGAATTAGGAATTGTCTTTAAAGGTCTAATTTAGTGCTCTCCATTAGAAATATAATGCAGGTCACATGTTATTTTAAATTTTCTAGTAGCCCCACTAAAAAAATTAAAAGTAGCAAGTAAATTAATTTCAAAAATATTTTCATTTAATCCAGTATATCCAAAGTGTTTATCATATCAACATGTAATCAATATAAAAATTATTGAGCTAGTTTCCTTTTTATTATTTGTACTAAGTCTTCAACATTCAGTTTGAATTTCATACTCACAGCACATCTCAGTTCAGACTAGAAACACTTCACATGCTCAGTAGCCCCATGTGGGTAATGACTTCTGTATTGGACAGCACAGGTCCAATTTGCATGCCTATCTTCAGTATGTACATGTCAGTTTATATCTATAGCTTGTGCCTTAAGATGTTAGGATTTATATTTTTAAAGAACCAATAAGATGTTAGGATTTATATTTTTAAAGAACCGAAAGAAAGATACGTTGTAATTTTCACTAAGTTGAAATCTGTTCCCCCTGGCTTGTATCGCTTAGAGCAATTTTCAATTCAGCTCAGCGAGTTTTGCTTCTAAGTTACTGAGATTTCTCATGGAGGCAATAGGGTAGGAGGAGAGGAAAGGAGTAGAATTCACTATGAATATGCTCTCTCAAAACATGAGTGCATGCCTGGCTAAGGAAATGGCTTCTCAAAGAGGGCACAGAAATGAGTCTTCTCTTTGAGCCTCTAGAGAAGATGGAAAGTAGGTTGTTGTGTTGGAAGCTGCAGACACAGCCGTGTTCCAGTCTTCCTGTATCATCACTGCTTCTAACTGCTTTGCAGAATAAAAGTGAATCAGGGGAAAGAATGTTGCTATTCTTGACTGTGTTTTGTGCCTTTTGTAGATCCTGAAAGACACTTCGCTGCAGAAAGTGAAACGCAACCAGAGTTGTTTGGAGCCCTGCCTACGCCAGCTCGTCTCCTGCCTTGAGACTTTTGTGGTGGGATTCTTGTACCAACCTGTGCTTTGGTTTTTCTTTTGTGTCTTCCTCTCTAAACTCCTGGGCTCCCTGATTTTGTAATAATGTATCCTTATTTTGTAATTCCGCTTTAAGACAGGTTGTGGTTTTTAGTCTATTGATATTTAAATTTCAGAACCAAGAAGATAGTGCTTCCAGCAACCCCTTTGCACTCCCAAACTCCGTCACACCACCCTTACCAACGTTTGCCCGGGTGACTACTGCCTATGGGTCATACCAGGATGCCAATATTCCCTTCCCTAGGACCTCAGGGGCCAGGTTCTGTGGAGCAGGTTGGTCTCTTTTTAGTTCTCTGATTCTAGACTTTGCGAGAGAGCAACTAAGAATGTCATAGGGTCTATATAAAAATCTCCATCAGAAAATTTTCTTTTTGGGGGGGTGGTAAGATTTGCCCTGAGCTAACATCTGTTGCCAATCTTCCTCTCTTTTTTTTTTTTTTTTTTTTTTACTCCCCAAAGCACTGGTACATAGTTGTATAGTGTAGTTGTAAGTCCTTCTAGTTCTTCTATGTGAGCTGCTGCCACAGCATGACTACTGACAGATGAGTGGTGTGGTTCCGTGCCTGGGAACCAAACCCGGGCCACCAAAGCAGAGCACGCTGAACTTTAACCACTAGGCCATCAGAGCTGGCTCAGAAAATTTTTCTTTGTTTTTATTTCCTGAGAACTCAAAAAACTTCTGTGGTAGTGTTATATGATCTGAGGCCAAATTGGTGTCTGTGGACATATTCTAAGAATGTTCACCAGAATTAAGTCTTAATTTTTTTTGTTCTGATGAGTGTGAATTTGAGTGTTTACTTAGAGCCCTGATTCTCAACAGAGAACAGGTGCCCTAGCAGGGAAATATAAACTACCTGTGAAGACTTTTTCCAAACCACATATGTGCCGTCTCTCCTGGATCTTGGAGATTCTGACCTTTGTCTCTGTTAAGAATCGCTGTGGTTGTGAGCCTTTTTGCACTTTATAAAAATGTGTCTTATCCTTCAGCTATGTTGAGATAGACAAAAGGTTGACCAATGCTCCCTTAGCGTTTTCCCCATCCCGCTCATTGACACTGATGCGCTCATGTGATGTCTCCTTTGTCAGGGTATTTGGTGTATTTCACAAGGCCTATGACGATGCATCGAGCAGTGTCTCCAACAGAACCTACTCCAAGGTGAGTCTGGGAGATGCAGATGTAAGCTACATTCATGAGCCAGAAATGGGCAGACATCTGACAATGGCCGCTGAGTTTATCTTTGGACAGTTGGTTGTAGTTCTTCAGTAAATGCCCATTGTAAGATTTATTCGAGGCAGATCAAAGTACATTAAATTGCAACTAAGCTGAGATTTCTACTGTCTGGTTCCTAACAAACCATTAGAAAGAGTAGCTTGATAAAAGCTGTTGTCAAAACAAGGCAAATCCTTTTTTAATTTGCTTTTTTTCCTATTGCTAACATTATATAAAACATTAAGTAAAATAACATTAAATAAAACTAGAAAAATAACAAGAAAGATCACTTATAGTCTCATCATACTAATATGCCACTTCTAACATTACCAAAGCATGTTTAATTTTTTTTAATTATGTAAGTAGTATGTTGAAAAAACTCAAATAATACAGAAGTTTTAAGTTAAAATATGAATATAGCTGTTCTTTTCATTTTCATGTCCCATAGAGAGCCACTGTTAACAGTTTAACATGTTTTCTGTTTAGTCTTCATTGTTTTTCTGGGTTTTGTTTTGTTTTGTTTTGTTTTTTGAGAGGCAATCTGGTGTAGCAAATGGGAATGTGGACTCAGCCAGACTGCCGGATCCAGATCTTGGCCCTGCCTTTCTATGACCTTAGGACGCTGCTTGATTTTCCTTAACAGTAACTTGGGGATGATAGCAGCACCTGTCTCCTTGAGTTGCTGTGAAGATTGAATGAGTTAGTTCTTATAAAGCATTTAGAACACTGCCCGGTGCATTGGGAGTCTTCTAACTGTGTTTCCTATTATTACTGCTTGTTTTTTTCTTATTTTGTAAGTTTTTGTTAACAGTTTTGTAGAGATATAATTCACATAGTATACAGTTGACCTATTTAAAGTGTATAATTCAATGACTTTTAGTATATTCACAGATATGTACAGCCATCACTATAGTCAATTCTAGAACATTTTCATTACCCCCAAAAGAAACTGCATCCCCTAGCTGTCCCTGCCCCCAAATCGCCCTTTCCTGCAGCCCTGGGCAAACACCAGTCTACTTGCTGTCTATAAATTTGCCTGTTCTGGGCATTTCATATAAATGGAACCATATAGCATGTGGTCCTTTGTAACTGGCTTCTTTTACTTACTATGTTTTCAAGGATCATACATCTTGTAGTATGTGTCAGTACTTCATTTCTTTTTATTGCCAAATGATATCCTATCATATGTATGTACCACATTTTATTTATTCATTCATCAGTTGGACATCTAGGATTTCCACTTTTTGGCTGTTATCAAAAATGCTGCTGTAAATATTTCATACACAAGTTTTTGTGTGGACATATATTTTTATTTTTCTTGAGTATAAATCTAGGAGTGAAATTGCTGGATCATATTGTAAAGGTTTTTTCTCCTAATTAATAAACTTTATCTTTTAGAGCAATTTTAGGTTCATAGCAAAATTGAGTGGAAAGTATAGAGAGTTTCCATAAACCTGTCTCCACACCTGCACAACCTCTCCCATACTACTGTTTTGTTGTTGTTGTTGTTGTTTTGTGAGGAAGATCAGCCCTGAGCTAACATCTGATGCCAATCCTCCTCTTTTTTCTGAGGAAGATTGGCCTTGAGCTAACATCTGTGCCCATCTTCCTCTACTTTATATGGGACGCCGCCACAGCATGGCTCTACAGGTGGTGTGTCAGTGCGCACCCGGGATCTGAACCGGTGAACCCCAGGCCGCCGCAGTGGAGCGCATGCACTTAACGGCTTGTGCCACCGGGCCGGCCCCACTACTGTTTTTTTAAGCTTAAATATTATAAGTTATATACCATAGACTTCTGGTTCTGCAGTATGGTGACCAAGGTAACTTGGAAACCCCCCTGCTATAAACACCTGGACATATTGGGTGTAATAAAATTAGCATACTTATGAATGAATAGCTGAGCTAACAAGAAGGAAAGGAGATTGAACCAAGTGCATGAGCAGGCACTGCTGTTGTCCTGGGAGTTTGCCAGTCTCTGCAGTAACCCAGGCAGAGGAGACCTTGGCCCCCAAGGACCTGGGAGTTAAGTGCCAGAGAACCCCTATATTACACGAGGTTCCTTATTTGAAAAGTTGGACTAGACAACAATCACTCTTCAAGGGAAACAAGAATATCTATATCCAGACTTTGGATCAGAGGGAAAAATGTTCCTATTAGAATGTTTTTCATACTGACTGTATTTCATTGAGATATAATTTACAGTATGCAAATATGGATGTATACCTTGATGAGCAGCACCCAGATCAAGATACAGAGCTTTGCCGTCACCCCGAAAAGCTCCCTGGTCCTTTTACCCCGAGGAAACCACTCTTCTGACTTTCGTATTTTTAGTTTTGCCTGTACTTGAGCTTCATCTAAATAGAATCATGCAGCATGTAAAATTTTATGTCTGGCTTATTTTACTCAATTTTTTTTTAAATTGATCCACATTGTTGTGTGTATCAATAGTTTCCTTGTATGAAAATAATAGAACTTGTTTATTCGTTCTCCTAATGATGGACATTTGGATTATTTCCAGTTTGGGGCTATTATGAGTAGACCTACACATACAAGTCTCTTATGGACATGTGTATTAATTTCTCTACCCAAGCAGTAGAATCCCTGGATCATAAGATAGGTGTATGTTGTTTAATTTTATTAGAATTTCCAAAAGTCTGTCCCCAGTGGTTGTGTCATTTTACATTCTTACCAGCAATGTTACACAGTTCTGGTTGCTCCACATCGTCTCCAAAACTTGCTATTTTCAATCTTTCCAACTTTAGCCATTGTGTTGGGTGTGTGGTAGTATCTCAGTGTGGTGAGGACTAACAGTGTTGAGCAGCTTTTGTGTGCTTATTGACCTTTTGGGTATCTTCTTGTGTGATGTTCCTGTTCAAGTATTTTACCCATTTTTTTTTGGACTGTGTTTCTTATTATTTATTTGTGGTAGTTCTTTATTCTGGTTGCAAATTCTTTGCTGGATGTATGTACTGATTTTCTCTTAATCTCTGGCTTGTCTTTCTTCCTCCTTAGTGATTTCGATAGACAGTAGTTTTTAATTTTGATGAAGTCCAATCTATCACTTTAAAAATTTTCTTGTGAGTGCTTTTGTGTCCTGTCAAAAGTCTTTGCCTACCCCAAGGTCATGAAAATATTCTTCTGTGTTTTCTTTTAAAAGTTTATAGTTTTAAATTCCTACTTTAAGGTCTGTGAGCAATCTCAAATTAATTTTTATGTATTATGTGAGGTAGAGGTCAAAGTTTGTTTTCTTCAGTGGAGGTATATAGTTGTTCCAGCACCATTTACGGAAAAAATTTGCCTTTCCTCATTGAATTTGCATTGATACCTTTGTTGAAATTCAGTTGACCGTGTTTCTATGTCTATTTCTGGACTTTATTTTTTCCTTTGATCTATTGGTTTTTCCTTATGCCAGCGCTATACTTTTAATGTAGCTTTATATAGTAAGTCTTCAAATCTGGTAGTGTAAGTCCTCCAACTTTATTATTCTTATTCAGGATTGCATTGGCTGTTCTAGGTCTTTTGCATTTCTGTAAAAATATGAAATCAGCTTAAAGCCTGCTCGTATTTTGATTGGAATTGTGTTGACTCTGTAGATTAATTTGGAGAAAATTCACATCTTGACAATAATATGGAATCTTCCAATCTACTAACATACTGTATTTCTCTATTGTTTTGAGTCTTTTTTAATTTATTTCAACAACATTTTGTATTTTCAATGTGCATTTTTTTGTTAAATTTGTTCCTTGATATTTGATGTGTTTTGATGCCATTGTAAATGAAATTTTTAAATGTTTATTTCCAGATGTTTGTTTCTAATATATAGAAACACAGTATATTTTTGTAGATTGACTTTGTATCTAAATTCACTGATTAGTTCTAGCAGTTTGTAGATTCCTTTGAATTTTCTATGTATACAATCATAGAAATATTCTCTGCTTTTGCAGGTAAAGCATTTTTCACTTCTAAAAGTTCTATTTGGTTTTTTTTTCGTGGAGTTTCCTCTTTTCCCCCGTTTTATCTATCTTTTCCTCTTGTTTTCATCAGGAATGGCTAAGAATGGCACTACTTAGAAATATGGAAAGACTGAAGCCAGTGTGGATAATTCTCTGTTTTCAACCACAGATCTCTCTCGGCCTTGTCTGCTTATCATACTGGCTTGATTGCGCCAATGAAGATTCGTACAGAGGCCCCTGGGAACCTTCGTTTATACAGTGGGAGCCCCACCCGCAGTGAGAAAGAGCAGGTCTCCATCAGCTCCTTCTACTACAAGGAGCGGGTAAGCGACAGAGCCATGGTCTTTGATTCTTATCTGTTCTTCTGGATTCTTGTTCTTTGTCTTCCTGCCTGCCACACAGCAGCTAAATTAGTAATCCCCCTATAGTCTTTCACTGTCATGATTAGTTTATTCAAGAAAGACCTTTGCTTTGTTCCTCTCAGTTGGTTTTAACTACTGTAAATTGTGTGTGTGGAGGAGAGGGTTAGTTCTTACCATCCATATTCTTCACTCCCCATCTAACCCTGTCCTTGTAATCCCCATTCATTAAGTTGATTCCCATTCTTTCAGGTAGAATAATTTAGCTTCAGGTCTTCCTTGGTATTCTGATGTTTGTCAGCAAATTACCAAAGCAGCCTTTGGATGCTTCCAAAGGCTTGGGATCTTGATATATTTGGAACTTCATAGTTGTGAGAAGTTTTAAAGTTGATCTCTAAGAGGTTTTATACTTGTACTAGGTCTACACTGAGGTACCCATTTGAATGGACCAGTTTATACCAAAATCACCTGAACCTGTCCTTATGTTCCTGGGTTCTTAAGAAACTTACCATCCCTAATGTAGCTATTAAGCTGTCAGAAGCCTTTGGTGATGACAATGTAGAGAATGTTGGCAGAGCGTAGGAATGATCCTAAGAACTCTTTCTCTGTTGTCAGATTGAGAGTCTAGGCTTAAACTGGCTTTTAACTGACATGATGTTTTAAACAGAATTGCCACTGAGCTACTAACAAACTCAGTTGTTAGAAATTCTTTGTTGTTGGCCTCCACTAATTGAGAAAAGATGGATTGACTATAATTAAAATTTATTTTTTTAAAAACTGAAATATTTTAAATAAAAAACCAATTTCCATCAAGTGTTAGTGGTGCCTTTACTTTGGTTGCAGTATAGTGGTTTAACCTTGGTTCACACTGATAGTTGACCATCTCCAACGTCTAGTGTTAGGGTTGTATGTGACTGAAAAGAGTGGCAGGAACTGATGCTTGAGACAGGATCAGTCTTGGGCAAAACCATTCAGTTGAGGGGGAAATGATTTTTTTTGTTGCCTTTCAGGCCAACCCTGCTTCACATCTCAGATAGAATTCTGCCCCTCGGCTGTCACAGACCTTCTTGGAACATCTATATTCTCCTAAGTCCTTTACATTTAAAATTTTTAGATTTTTTTTTCCTTTTTCCTCAAGCTAACAGGTAACTGGTTAGATGATTTGATGAACTGGTTGGAACGAAGGCATTTTATTGACAGAATAAACAAACAAACTCATGGTTGGGTAAATGTGGGAATTTTCATTAGCGTCAGGGCCAGGTTGAGGAGATCTTTTAGTCAAAGAGGTAGTTCTGAATTCCCCTTCGAATCATGTCATGTGCTACTCATGCTTGGGTTGGGCCTGGGCAAAATAGATTGACTAGCGCTTTTGACCCTGTGATAGTATGTAAAGGCCATGTGCAGTCAAAATAACTCCATTTCCAAGATGGGACCTCTTCCAATGCAGAAGCATTTATAAAACCTATGTTCATGTTTTTGATGGTCTGGCCTCTTTTACTACAAACACCATAATCATAAAGAGGATCAAAGGCACATAGGTAATTATCTCTTATCAGACAGGATCTGCTGGGGAATGGAGAAAGGATTGTGATGTTTCAGTTTAGGGTAACTCCCAGCATGCTGCTTCTCCACAGAAAATGGGCTCTTATGGTCCCCTAGGATGACCTAGTAAGTGGTTTTAAGTTTTATTTCAGATAGTGACCAAATTAAGTGGGGGGAGACACTTTTATTATAATTTCATGTGAAACTTTTGTATTGCTATATAACATTTGTACAGAAAAGTTCACAAGTCATAAGCATATAATTCAGTGAATTAACCATCAGAGAGACCAAGAAATAGAACGTTAAGAGAACCCTAGAAGGCCTGGGGGTGAGAGACACATTGTAATGGATGACATAGCGATTGTTAGGTTAGATCATATGAAATTGCTGATATTTGACCATTTTTAACCTTAAAAAAAAGTTTCATGTGGTTCAATCTAATAAGAAATTAAAATGAGTAAGTCAGTTATTTTGTGATGAATCAGAAGTAAATTCATCTCTCCTTGAAGCCTGTTCATGTCCACCCCATTTACATGGGGCCAAGGTGGGGGGGTTCAAGAAATGAAATGTGGCCATGATGTCTTATGTAGGCTATCTGATCTTCCTCACGGAGGTTGATACGGTTTTATCCCTTGACGAGTATTTTTTGATCCTCGGGTGTCTTAGTTTCACATGTCAAATAATAATCACTTTTATTACTTTTGTTCTGGAAATGATTCTAGTTTACTAAATTTCTCTATGCGTTAAGTGTTCATTTTCAGCTTAAATTTTTCTCCTATGTATTTTTATTCTCTTGTAGATCTCTACGCCTGAGATCTTTAAATGAGTAAGAATAAAGGCAAAAGAATATAACTACATTGAAGTATAGCAATGAAGAAATTATAGAGTATTTGGGATATTACAAAAAATCTTTCTAGAGCCATTGGGGATTACTGTTCATTTCTCTTGTTTTTCTGTGTTTTTAACCTGCCCTACTTAGGTCGTATTGTTATATTCACCCAGATATTCTCCAGATGGAATTTCAAGGTTCACTCCTAAAAATTTAAAAAATGTGAGAGACCTAAAGAAACCATCAAATTCCATGGGAAGTTAGAAAACACAGAGAGATGCTAACATTCATTTGGTAACTGGACAAACTATTAATAATTGATGAAATATTGTTTATTCCTAGGATAAATCAGAAGGCCCAGAACTTATGACAAACATTAGGCATTGCCCTGTAAACATTTTAAAAATTTTGCAACCTCCCACATTTGGTTCAGTGTATATTACTAAAATAGCTCTAATAAATAACTAGGAGTTCTTGAAGTTAATGGAATAATTTCTGACTTCCATAATCAGTGTTTTACCCTCCCAGTTTCACATTGATGCTCATGTTGTTAGCGAGAGTGCCCTCAAGAGTCCAACTCTTCGGTGTTAGCTCCCTCTTTCCCTTTGTTTCTCTGGGGCTCTCATTCCCCATGGAATCTGAAAATAGTCTGCAGTCTCAGCTGAGACTTTCAATTTCCCCAAAGCCCCCCAAATGCACACCAAAAAAAAAAAAAAATTGATATGAGTCTATTGAAGAACTTCTTCCTTTCTAGGAATGAGAATCTTCTTGCACATACGTGTGCTCTTGAAGGGGAAAGCAGACACCTCCAGCTGTTTCTCCACTTGCACTATGATCTTAATCCTCGTTAAAAAAACCACAAACCTTGATCGTAGTTCCTTTGTCAGAGCTGTGTGGATGCCAGCCTCCTTCTATCTTGAAATGTGTTTCGGACTGAAGAGCAATGACATTGCAGCTGGGTTTGGAGTGTGATGGGTTGGGAGGGAGGTGAGGGAATCCCAATATTGCTGTGCTTAGGTTCAGGTTTTTCAGTCATTTCAATCCTGATTTTGCAGTATGTTATGGTACCTTTTAATCCATCAGATGTATGGGAAGCTTTCATTTTATTCTCTTTTTTCCTTTTTAATTTTCTTGGTGTTTTTCTTCCCTCCTCCTGGGTGTAACGTTTTCACGCACAGATGTCTCCTCGCTCTGCCCGGCGACGTTGGTCCATACAAGCAATTAACGACTTCCCGGTACTGTGCGCTGTGCAAATGCTCTCCTTAACTAATCCTGTCTCTGCCCAAAGGCCCAAGAATAAAGTGCCACCTGCCTGGCTTTGAGGAACCTGAAATGACAGGCTGGCTGGTTTTCAGGACCAGCACAATAAATTTTCCACTCTTGGGAGTCAGGTGCCAAGGACTGCCTCCTTGTTCCAACAGTTTCTAGAGGGTGAATACTGAGATTGTTGAGGATTGTGAATGGACTTCTTTGAAAATGAAGCTAAATACTGGGTTTCTTGGAAAGAACCCCAATTGTAAGCATTTAGCTCACCTGATTTCATTTGGAGTATTTGTATAATTTCATATAGCTTTCAAAAACCTACCTTTGGCATGGGGGGAAGCAGAGGAAGATATAAGAGGCTCCCACCATTTTGTCTCTCTGTTTTTATCGTCTCGGTCTAGTTCAGAGAGGGACGTGCCCACCTGCTTCATTGGCATGACACATAAGCTAGTTTTTAATCCTTTGGGAATTTTCTGGAACATGTTTTTTCCTTACCATTGATATTTTGCATTGACAATAAAACCTCTACTATGGACATCCTCTCTTCCTTTTCTTTCTTTCTTACTCACTCCTATTGGCTGTCTCCCCTCTTCTGTCTTCCTCTCCCACCCCCTTCATGTTTCAGTAGTGCCAAGGTGACCTCAAGCTGTGCAAGGCAGCCTTGAGGCTTTTATGTAAATTTCATTTGGTGTAAAAAATATTTAGGGGCACAGTAATATAGCTTTTTCATATAAAAACCAGTTGAAATCAGGAGCCTTGATCAGCAAGTACCACTGCTGCCAACAACTTGCAGGTGGATCAGCCAACGTGGCCACCTTTCCTCAAAAAGCCTGTCCCAGCCAACCAGACTGCTGAATTTCCACTAATTTTCCAGAAGTCTCTGCTCCCACTGCTATTTAAATAGGAACTCATTTTGACTCACTGCCCACTCTGCTGATTATGCATTGTTGATGGGGTTGCTGCGAAGCAGTTGGTGGCTTATTCTTGGGCTGTTTTTACATTTAACCCATTTATTGGCATCGATGTTGCCTCCGATTGTAGCAGTAACACTGGTGGTACAGTCGCAAGCTGGCTATTGGTTGTCATTCAGTGCTATTTGCACCAATGCCTCCCTCCCTCCCCCTCCTACTGCACCCATTTCTTCCCTGTCCTCTTTCCTGTAATTCCATGAACATCTTCTTGGTATGTTCAGGGAGCATCTCGGTGCTCATTGTGTGATAATTTGTCTGTCTTGCTTTGTCTCTCTTCCTTTGATCCCTGCTCATGAAATCTGTGGGGAAGGGGCATTTTCTGTTAATGGGGCATTGAGAAGACCTAAGAGAAATGCACAGTCCTTTGCCTCCCAGAGGTACTGATTTTATCGCACAGAAAAGTACCCACATTTTAGCCCGTCAGAGTGGGACTGGAGCAATGCAGGAGGTGTGGGGGGCTTTGGGGCCATAGTACCCTTCCTTCACCTGGAAAGATCAGCCACACCTCAGTCTGTTGTGTCGTCATTCTCTGTGTGTCATTACTTGACAGTTGCACAGACAAGAGAGACTCTTAAAATCTCCAAAAAGATAGTAAGGGAAAAAAGAAGTCTTGGGGAGATGTGGATGGAATATGAACTCTTTTTCTTGCCAAGGCACTGGAGGAAATGCCCTGAAAAATTGTCCATGCTCGTTAGGGAGTAGCAGGGACGTAGGGCCCCAACATCTGATTTGACATTTAGCATGTCTTCACTTAGGCAGTCTTGTTTTATTTGAATCCCCAGAATAATTGGCCACTAGACAGGATTACTATACAGTCACTACCCATGTAGCCTGAAGGGGAGATATTTCAAATGTTAAAACCACCAACCAACAAATTAAAAAAAAAAAAACGTTTTGTGACCTCTTAACGATTTTTGATAATGTTTTGCAGTTCTTCCTTGCTGGATTACATGAACGAATAGTGCTATCCCCATGATTGCTTTTACAGTTTGATTCTTGGTGGCAGCTGTAATTAGGGTGATCCTGTGCTGGGGAACCTCCTTCTGTTATAGGCTCAAGGGCAGCTTAGTGAGATTCCATAAAACATCGCCTGTACATCAGTATAGATCAAACAGAGAAGCACCTAGAAGCCTGATGTCTCAAGAAGTTGACAAAGACGTCCCAGGAAATACAGACTATGATTTCCACAATTCAATGAAGGATGATTACATAAAGTTGTCCAGGACCACAATCTTTACATTTTCATCAAGTTCTTATTGATGACTCATGTTAGTTTGTTTCTATTGATCTCTGTAACCCAAGACTGCAAATGGGGAAAGAGTCCTAAGACATCTCTTTGGACTCTGCGTTTCCTTCTCTCTGAATGTGCCTAATCCTAACAGATCCAGAAAGGAGACTGAACAGCATGAGGTACAGGCTTTTGAGCCCAGCCTGAAATACAGCATCTTAGTCTGAGCCTGGTGTGCCCCATGTGAAGCCATGTAGGTGCGGTAGCTGCTTGCCTCTGCCCATCTTCAGCACACTGCTCTGGCTCAGCAGAACATAGTCATGATGCTTGGCAGAGAAGCGACTTCAGAAGTGAGTAATTGTAGAGGATGGTGTGTTGGTTAGGCCTCACTAGAATCAGATGCTGATCTCCTTATATGCAGAAATGGATCCATTTAAAATGGACCAAACTATTTACATATTAACAGTAGCTTAGTCAGGACTTAAGTTTTTTTCCCGTTTTAGTCTAAAATCATGCTCTTCAAAACAGGTTAGCAAATATGGGTTTAGCAGCCTGACAGGCCTGTGTTCAAATCTCAGCTCTTGTGAGTGTGGCCTTGAGTAAGCCTCACATCCTCATTTGTAAAATGAAGGCAGCACCCTCTCTGTCAGAGAGATGTGGGGAGGCTCACGCTCGCATGAAGTGAGCAGTCCATAGCAGGAGCTAATGTTGTTAATGATAACAAAGTCTTTAAATCCTAAGCCAAACATCTGTACACTTGGACCTGTGTCCAGGACATCTGTCATTTCCCACATAATGGGCTCTTCTGTAGCCACCTATAGGGAAGGCCCTGGGAAAATAGGTCATGATCTTCCATGTCCACTACCCAGGTCCCTCTGCTCAAGTATTTTTGACATTGTAAAATGAGCGTTTTTAGAAATAATTCAAGTCCGCTAGGAAAAACATTTTTGAATGAGCTAGTCTATTTGCAGATGAACCACTTTTGGCACATGGGCCTTGATATTATACTTTTATTAGGTTTGCTTAAAAAGTCAGAATCGTTGTTTTCCGTGTGGTCTGAAAACTATAGACCCCATCTCGTGTGAGGCTCAACTTATTTGTTCTGTTTAGTTAAGTGGAGCTATAGTGAATTGCTTAATTGTTCAAGTGCTTCTCATTTTCTCTCTGTAATAAGGGGCCAGAGTGACTGCCTGGAATAGTGTGTTCCAGCCTTCCAACCAATCCGGAAGACCCAATTAGATGGATCATATTCCGTTCCAGGTGGAATCATTTTAGTGTAGATCTTTTCTTTTTTTTAATCCAGTACCCTAAATCTCACCTGAGATGACCACTTATGTGGGATTTATCGGCGTGTCGTTTTCTGGGATTTTTAAACTCCTGGAAACCTGGATAAAAATCACAGTGAAATGAGTTTGTGTACTTATACCCTCCCTGTTCTAGTTAGCCACATTGTACTGTTCTGTTATTGCTAGATAGTTGGATGCCATATTACCCTACCTCAAACTGGTGATGTCATAGTGTTTAGTGCACACGTGACGACATCTGCCTTGTGTCGGTTAACACTGCCTGGCTCCAGCCCATTCTGACAGGTTGTTTGCTCTTTAGCACATTCTCCTCTTACTTGCACCCACATCAGAATATTTGTGGCTAAAAGGATAATATTTTTGTGAGTATGCACATAATTCTTCTTTAGAAAATAACCAAGGCTAACAAAGAATTAAAGGGCTACCCCGTAATAATAGATTAACCTTCCTCTTGTATTGCAGAGTAATGATATGTGTATGGATAAGTAGTAAATAGTAATGGAACTGCTTCTTAAGATCAAGTGATTTAAGGTTCCAAATTGATAATGTAGCATATGTATTTACAAATTATGATAAACAATTCAGATACTTCAGCTAAACTTCTTCATTTACCTGCCATGAACTTAGTCCAGGTGTCCTGGATTTAGTAGGTTCCATAACATGGAAGTTACATGCATTGGACAATTTTGGGGATTAGATGGGGCATCAGTGGTCAGAAACGCCTGAATATAGACCGTGACTAACTTATGGAAGAGTGATTGTATAAAAATCACTTGCGGAAAATGAATTTATTTGTGAATGATCAAAATAATGATATAATCTAAATTCCTGAGAGTTTATATACATTCATAATCATTATAGATTTTTAAATTGCACTTTTTCAGATTACACAGTTTGCACTCTCCCCTTTTCATTGTACCCTTCTTACCCTTGTGAGATGGGAACAGCAGAGCTCATCATGAGCCACAAGTTATCAATGACCGAAGAGAGAGTGACATGAGACTGAGTTCACAGCAAATAAGTGACTTGCCCTGGGTCACACTGAGCCAGTACATGTGGTAATAAGACCAGTAAACCTTGGTTTTCTGACTCCAAATTTCAGCCTCTTTCACTAGCTGTTTTTGTCTCCTTTGTTAATAAATATGTCACTTCCCTCCTGAGTTGACTCACTTTGGTGGCCCCCTTTTTAACTTCTGGCAAGAAAATAAAATGCAGTATTGCTCCCTTGGCTGGTTGTCATTTTGAAGATACCAGATGGGGCTACACTCTCGAATAATTCTCATTTTCCAGGACATCTCTTGTTTCCTACATATGAGCTCCTCTAGCCGTTCATAGGTGAGGCTCTGGGGAACTAGGATAATTGCTCATGATCTTCCATGTCCATTACCCAGGTCCCTCTGCTCAGGTATTTTTGACATTCTAAGATGATCACTTTTAGAAATAATTCAAGTTTGCTAGGAAAAACAGGGTAATTCTCCTTGAGCTGCTAAACTTCTTGGTCTGCTTACCGTAGATAAAGGTTTGCAGAGCGCACACTGCTATGTCTGAATTAAATTTTCAACAAATCCTATTAAAACTGTTGGAGAATAAAAAAGCTGTGATAGTTTTAAGCAGGAACTCTGAACCTAGGTCTGAACCCAGGTCTGAACCCAACCTTAAAAGTTGCTCTTCTCCCACATTTTTGTGGTCTTTACTAACTTCTTTACCTACTGCTCTTTCTTTCCTTATTTTTTTAATTCTGGCTTCAAGGTTCTGTTTTTGAGCACCTGCAGAATGTACATAGCACTGCAGTAGGTGCTTGTTTTCCTGTTAGGATTTTGGACCAAGAGCTCAATGCCCTTTGTCATCCTTTTATTTCCTACAGATGCTGATTCATGTAATTGTGGGCATGATGTAATGCAAAGTGTCTGCAAATTACCAATGACCCAACTATGATGTGCTCTGCAACTGTAGGTTTCCATTCATCAAAATGCACGTTAGTGATATCTTGTCATCCCCCCCAGAAATCAAGGAGATGGAAAAGTAAGCGCGAGGGATCGGACTCTGGCAATCGACCAATCAAGGCTGCTGGGAAAGTTATCATCCAGGATATTGCGTGTCTTCTTCCTGTTCACAAATCATTGGGAGAACTGTACATGTAAGTTCAAAATTTCAAGTATGCCATGCTTATCACTTAGTCATGAATTTCAGTCTTTTTTGTTTTTTTTTTTTAAGTATTGGAACGCTTTCTTCAAAAGCAATTTTAGAAGTCCAGTGTATTAGCTTTCTATTATTGCATGACAAAGTACCACAAACTTAGCGACTTAAAACAACATACATTTATTATCTCACAATTTCCATGGGTCAGGAGTCTGGGTGTGGCTTAGCTGGGTCCTTGCTCAGGTGTCTCTAGGCTGAATCGTGGAGTTGGCCAGGTGGTGGTCTTATCCGATGCTCAGGGTCCTCTTCCAAGCTGATTCAGGTTGTTAGCAGAATTCAGTTCCTTGCAACCATAGAACTGAATTTCATCTTCTTTCGAGACCAGCAGGAGTGTCTCACTGACGCTTCACCTTCTTTCTAAGGTCTCACTCGATGAGGTCAGGCCCATCCAGGATAATGTCCCTTTTGACAAATTCAAAGTCGACTGATTACTAACCTAATCCTGGGTGTGATATCCCATCAATATTCATTGGTTTCGCTCACATTTAAAGGGAGGGGTTTATGCAAAGTGCATACAGCAGGGGTCAGAAATCTTGGGAACAGTCTCAGAATTCTGTCTCCTAGACCCAATAAGTAAGTAAAACAGATAAAGCAGAGCCACTTTGGTTGAAGGGAGTTGGGGGGTGAGTGACAGGCACCCAGAGGCTGGCCTGTGGTTTCTCTTCTTCCTGAACTTGAACACATAACAAAAGTATTTATATTTTGTAGTATATACACAGCACACTACTCTTTGTGTTGGAAACTACAGTCAGTATTGCACATATTTAAATCAATTTTTGTTCACCCCTCAAGCCTGGGAACTCCAGAAAGCTGGTTGCCAAATTGGTCTTTGAATCTGGCCTCTTCTGACTTCCAAGAGGTGAGCGATTTCACCTTCCCCAGGCCTGAACCCATAGCATACCATCAGCTATAGTAAAGCTTTTTCTTCCTGTCACATAGAAAGGGAGCTTAAGGCCAATACAAATAAAACATTTTGAGTGACAATCAAAGACGCAGTTTTCAGTCTATTTGTTAAACCAGGAGTAATTGATTTAGGCGGTTAGACTAGGAAGAAACTTTTTAATTCTTTTTTTAATTTCAGATTGAATGTAAATGATATTCAAGAAACGTGTCAGAAGAATGCCACTTCTGCCTTGCTTGTTGGAAGGAAGGATCTTGTCCAGGTAGTATCCATCCGTTTTGCTGGAGATCTGGATTTTTCTTTTTGAGCAGTTTGTTTTCACTTTATAGTTGTGGTTTAGTGACATTTCAAAGTGTGCCTCCTATTTTGCAATTCCTTTGCCAAACTACAGGGCTAGAGAGCTTTCTAAATCCCTTGGATGTTTTTTTTATTAGTCCTTAAACTAAGTATTTATTAAGTATTTTTTGTTACATCTCTTTTCTATTCTGGTATCATGGTGATTGTTGCATACCTAAATTTGGTTATCTGTATCTTTGCCATTTGCACCCTCCATTCTGTTTTGTTTTGTTTTTTCACTTTTAAAAATGCTTCATTTCATAAAAGGTTTACCAAAGTGTTCCTTTAGATGGACACATGTTCAGTTTTAAAATATGATGTAATATTACAAAAATTTAAATTTCCTTCATCTTTGCAGGAACACATCAGTGTATAAAAGCAAGCTGCTCCTACGTTGTTTTTTTTTTTGTGAGGAAGATCAGCCCTGAGCTAACATCTATTGCCAATCCTCCTTTTTTTTCCCTTTTTCTCCCCAAAGCCCCAGTAGATAGCTGTATGTCATAGTTGCACACCTTTCTAGTTGCTGCATGTGGGACGCCACCTCAGCATGGCCAGACAAGCAGTGCGTCGGTGCGCGCCCGGGATCCAAACCCCGGCTGCCAGTAGCGGAGCCCGCGCACTTCACCGCTAAGCCACGGGGCCGGCCCCTGGTTTTTTTTTTTTAAGAGCTTTATTGAGATATAGTCCATATACTATGCAATTCACCCATTTAAAATGTACCATTCAATGGCTTTTAGTATATTTACAGAGTTTTACAGCCATCATCACAGTTTTAGAACATTTCCATTACCCCAAAAATATACCCCACACCCGTAAGCTGTCACCTCTCAATCCTCTCTTCCCCCACCCAGCCCTAGGCAACCACTAATCTACTTTCTGTCTCTATTACACCCTTTATTCTTTAGTGTGAGGATTAGATTGAGCAATGGAAACTACTAGCTATTGTCTTATCAGCTCAGTTTTTTCCTTATAACTCTCCAAATCCAGAGCTAAGGCCTTCCCTTGGTTTTTATCTGATTAAAAATCCCTATAATTTCCATTTGTCTTCTAATAAACACTGTCAAGTTTCTGCCCCAAACTCTTTTAGGTGAAATTTAGAATCATGGATTTAATCTGTTTCTATAAGGACCCAGCCATCTAAATAGTTATATGAACACTGAGAAGACAAAATGAAGTAGTAGAAATAGTGTGGAATTTATAATGGGAACTCCAACTCAACTTCCTAGTGGTATAACCCTGGGCAAATTATTTCAGACTCTCGCAGCCTCTGTATATGTTGTAAAATGAGAAGTGTAATAATAATGACTTCATAGGTTGGTGAGCAGGTTGGTAAATACAATATTAAGGCAGATCCAAGGTTCATGTTCTGAAAAAACATTCTCTGAGGAAAAATCACTTCCTAAACTGTATTAATGTGCATGTGCGTGTGTGTGTGTATTTTCTTTTTTTAAGTTTTCAGTACTTTTCTTTTTTTTTTTTAAAGATTTTATTTATTTATTTTATTTCCCCCCAAAGCCCCAGTAGATAGTTGTATGTCATAGCTGCACATCCTTCTAGTTGCTGTATGTGGGACGCAGCCTCAGCATGGCGGGAGAAGCGGTGCGTCGGTGCGCTCCCGGATCCGAACCCGAGCCGCCAGCAGCGGAGCGTGCGCACTTAACCGCTAAGCCACGGGGCCAGCCCTTCAGTACTTTTCTGACAGAGTTGATTTAGAAGGTCAGGCTAGTCTGAGTAAAGAGGAAAGACCCTTCCCTTGTGTTCACACAGACCTGGGATTAAATCTGGGCTCTGTCACTTTTTTGTTATGTGATCCTAGGCAGCCACCTAATCTTTCTTTTTTTTTTTTTTTATAATTTTATTTATTTATTTTTCCCCCCAAAGCCCCAGTAGATAGTTGTATGTCACAGCTGCACATCCTTCTAGTTGCTGTATGTGGGACGCGGCCCCAGCATGGCCGGAGAAGCGGTGCGTCGGTGCACGCCCGGGATCCGAACCCTGGCCGCCAGCAGCGGAGCGCGCACACCCAACCGCCAAGCCATGGGGCCGGCCCCACCTAATCTTTCTGAACCTCAATTTCCTCAACTATAAAATAGGATCCATACTTCTAAGGTCCTTGTGAGAACTAAACAAGGCAATATATGTAAAATTCCCATACCTATATATGGTAGATGGTAAATACCCAATATATGGTACAATTACTGCTGCTGTTCTTGCAATTTGAAAATGAGACAGTGTCATCATTTGTGGCATGGTACTGTTTAATGGGACAGAAATGACATCATTGCAAGTGCTTGAAGAATTTTTTTTTGGTTCTTTATGCACATGTTGAAGATCCTATGTCTACTATTTTGTGAAGAATTGCAGAAATACACCTAAGTGTCCACTATTTCTGTGGAAGGCATTTAGAAAATGTGTATTGTAAGTGAGGAAATGTCTAAGTTGTCAGCCAGGGTAGTAAACATTCTGTCCTAACCCTGAAAGCCGTGAACTTCTTTCAGCAACCATTCAGGTGGGTTGTTGATTATAGAGAAGGACGTAAACTTCAAGTTTCTCGTTTGAACCAATGCTTGTGTGCATTATTTAAGTATATTGATGCCACATAATTTAATTGATTTTTTTATATATCTGATGTGTTTCTCTACCAGTTTTTCATTATTTTTAGTTGCTTATTCTTTTCTTTTAGATTATAAACTCCTTGATTCAAAGTCTGTATCTTCTTCCTTTCAAGCGTTTCACAGTCTAGTATAGTGTTTGCCAGTTAGTGGGCATACAACGATGTGCTGCTACTAAGAAAGATTTCCCAAAAGTAGTATTCCACTTTTAAAGGTATGGAGGGGAAGGGGCTCTGTTGATGGCATGATGTATTTAGTGTATGGTAAATCTTGGATTTAATAGACACTTAATGGGCATTAGTTTCTGCTTGATAACTTCAAGCCCCGTGAGATTTCAGGTTTGGAGATACTCCTCAGATTTGGTGTCAACGAAAAGAAAGCCAAGTCTGTTTGTCTCGGGCTATTTTTCTGTAGCTTCAGAGAGTGTACTGAAACTTGTGTAATGAAGGCAACAAAGTTTTTCATTAATTGGGCAAAGAAGGACAGATCTTAAATGTGATACAGAATGCTTTTTTTTTTCTCCCTGCTAGTTCACTAGTGAAGCAGCAGAAAAAGTCACAAGAGTTTGTGGTTAAATAGAGAACTTGTTGAAGTTATTGCACGGTGTCATTTCTCTGAAGTTTACTTAATGCAAGTTTTTAAGGCTAGTGTTTCTCAAAGGTTATAGTGCATACAGGTCCCCTGAGAATCTTGATAAAAATGCAAATTCTGATTCAGTAGGTGTGGAGTGGGGCCTAAAATTCACATTTCAATAAGCTGCCAGCTTTTGCTGCCCTCAGTAGCAAGGCTTTAGGCTGCATATGGAGGATGGGCGGGGCTCTTTCATGGTTCCTCTTCCTGTCCTCGCCAGTCTGACTTGGAGTGTTTCTCTTTGATCTGTCCAGGTTTGGTCGCTGGCCACGGTAGCTACAGATCTTTGCCTTGGTCCGAAGTCTGACCCAGATTTGGAAACACCCTGGGCTCGACATCCATTTGGGCGACAGCTGCTGGAGTCCCTGTAGGTTTTGAGAGCTAAAAGGGAGGAAAATGAGTGATGTAAATGTTAGGTCTGTAAACACTTTCAATGTTATTGTCTAAGAGAAAAACACAGAGGCCCGAGGAATGAGAGGAAGAAGTGAGATCTTCCTTTTAGTGCTACAGTAGTTCCTGTGCAGAACTAACTTCTTATAGCAGAAGGAACTGTACCATATTTGTCATTTATAACAAAGATTTGAGACTCGTGTCCTTTAGAGATTGATGCTTTAGCCTGTAAGTCACATCAGTCTGAACACAGAAGTCTGAACTCTTGAGATGGTATATTTCATGGGTGCTGTAAAGTTTCCCCCCTGAGAGCAGATGAGAGAATTGCTTATTGGCTTTCATGTTTTCCAAAGACCATGATGCTTCAACCTATTAGGCAATTTATGAAAACATTGAATTTGTGTTGGATTTATTGCACTGAAATATGGAAACTGGAAATAACAGTGTGCAAGATGATTTACAATGAGGTAAAACCACTTGAACCTCCATAGCAGTGAGGCCCAGGTCCTGGACAGAGAAGCAGAGAAGCTAATTCCTTCAGGTGGAGGTTTGCTTTACTTACTTGTGGAGGCCAGACCTGGCACACGTGCTCACGCTTCACTTGCCTCGTGGTAATGCGGGGATGATAATGCTTGTTCTGCCCACTTCACATAAGACTCAAATAAGATGGTGAGTGTGAAAACACTTTAAAAAATATTAGATGTTGCTTGGTAGGAAAGTATCATTATTATTCCAGCACAAAAGCCAAGTCCCTCTGATCCCTACCTCACCTAGCATAGTGGTCTTGAAAGGAGCAAAGAGGATCTGAGTACGTAAATGGTAAACATATTCCTTGTTGTTCTTACTTCACAGCTCATGTTCATAATTCCATCTCCCAAGTCTGTGGCCTGCTCGCCATACTGTGCTGTTACAGTGGTCTCTGAGCACCTTCACGTGTTTTAGGTTATATGAATGAAGTATATAGGAACCCCCCCAGAAAGCAATGCGATTCTTCTCTAGAGCTGGGGAGACTGAGAGCATATACAGCCTCGTTCAGATGTTAGTTTAGTCTACTTAGTTCTTGGAGAAGCTATATTTAAGTCTGAACCTGTGCCTCGATGCCAACCAGAAGCTTTCTGATTGGTTATCTAGGTCATTTGTAATACTTGAATACATTTTATTGTAGAGCAAATTTAGCCAAACTCAAAGTAGATCCAGCCACTGGATCTGTAGAAAGCCCCGGTTCCTGCAGGGGTTTTTGAGGCAGAATTAAGGATCCTCCCTTCCTACCCCTCCTGCAACAACCCGCCATGGTTGTGACTCTTGTCCTTCCTCCGTCCCTTCTCTTGACTTGTTTTCTCTCCTCCCCTCTTTTTCTCCAGGTTGGCTCATTACTGCCAACTCCGGGATGTCCAGACATTGGCTATGCTCTGCAGCGTGTTTGAAGCCCAGTCTCGGCCTCAGGGAATACCAAACCCCTTCGGGCCTTTTCCCAGCCGTTCATCTAACCTTGTGGTGTCCCATAGTCGATATGTAAGCTTGTGGTTTTCTGGCTTGTGTCTGACTTTTCCTAAAGGTAAACTCTCATGGGGAACGTGGTTCTGATGCTGCTCCTGTTTGTTCTGCAGCCTAGCTTTACTTCCTCTGGTTCCTGCTCAAGCATGTCAGACCCAGGGTTCAACACTGGCGGCTGGAACATAGGTTGGTATGGAACTAACTTAGCCCGTGCTGGATTCTTAGTGCTCTAAAAGCTGTGTGTGATTTATTAATATGTAATTTTTAGTTGATGATATTTTTCCTTGTTTATGATTTCTCTTTAAATTTAGTATGATGGGATACTATAGTGAGCAAGGCCTGGAGTTGCATGTTTGAACAGGCTAGTTTCTGCTACATCTTTGTGTCTTGCTGGGTTGCTTTTCATCTTGTAACCTTGAGAAACTGACAGACTTCCGATGTTCACCCCAAAAACCTAACCCTTATCCTTTCTCCTTCACATGCCACTTCCATGATGATCTGCCACTTCTTAGTGTCTATCTCTTCCCATGTACCTCTTTCAAGGTAGAGAAATAAAGCTGCGCCTGATTTCCGCTGACTATAAAGGTCTCTTTAATGAATAGGTGTATTTGTGTTTTCTGGATTTTTTTAATTTATTTTTTAAAATGATCTTAATTTTGTGATTATAAAAGTAATGCATGCCCAGTGAAGAAAAACAAACAAAAAGTTTTAGAGAAGATGGTAATCATTGATTCCTCCACCTAGAAATAACTTCTGTTCACATTCCAAGACATTTTCTTCCAGTCTTTGTGTGTGTGTCGGAGGGTCATTCTATATTTGTGATCTTGTGCTCCCTTTTTAATTTTATCATGAGCATTTTCTCATGTTATTTAAAAAGTCTTTATAAATAATGACTGCCTAATATTCTACTATATCACTTATTCTATAATTTGCTTAATCATTATGTGTGTACTTAATTATCAAGTTACCTTAATAATAAATACCTAGACAAAAAGGTAAGGCTGGGAAAGTTCTGTTTAGTTATATTTCTCAGGATCTTCAACTGAGCTTATTTTTCTTCCAGGGAATAAACTGGAACACACTACATTATGAGAGTTTTCAGGTATTTTCTATGCCTTCTCTTATTTCCATCTTCCATTCCCATTTGGTTTTCTTCAGCAGGAAGAGAGGCAGAACATATATCTTCCCCTTGGGGAGAGTCTTCACCAGAAGAAATCCGCTTTGGAAGTCTGACCTACAGTGATCCCCGTGAGCGAGAAAGGGACCAGCATGATAAAAATAAAAGGTAATGACCTTCCCATGTGACAGCTATAATTTCATAACTCTTAGATTCTCCAAAATCAGGACTCTTGCTTTAAGACAGGTCTATTAAATGCCCTTTGGTATCAAGCTTGTTTTTTCTTAATGGAACTGACAGGAAATATTTTAAATTTTATCCAGGCTTCTGGACCCCGCCAATACTCAGCAATTTGATGACTTTAAAAAGTGCTATGGAGAAATCCTCTATCGCTGGGGCCTGAGAGAGAAACGAGCTGAAGTGCTGAAGTTTGTTTCCTGTCCTCCTGATCCTCACAAAGGGATTGGTGAATATGCATTTCTTTCTTTTCTGTCACTGTCTGAAAGATCCTATAACTTAATTTGTCTGTAACATAATACTTGGGATGAAGTTTTAGCTTCTCATTTATAATTAGAAATTTCTGAAGCATTTTGAGTCTGTTTTAAGCTTCTGAAAACCCTTGCATTTCATGACAAGATTAAATTTCTATTGTTAACAGTAGTAGTTTTATATATAGTACTCAGTTATTAATTGGAAGTAGGGGTAGTTATTCATTGATTCAACTAATGTGTATCAAACGCTTCTTAGGCACAATGCTAGCACATTCCCTCCCCTCGTGGAACTCAAAGACTCTAGTGGAGGATAAAAATTAAATCATTACAAATTGGATAAATGTTTATAAGCAAATGGAAAGGATGGTTGGGGCGGGGAGAGCAGGGAGGAGCAATTTTAGAAGACATGTTGAGTCGTGTTGGGAAAGCCTCTCTAGGTGCTGAGGTCTGAAGGATGAGAAGGAGCCATCCATGCAGACAGCAGCGAGAAGAGCGTTCCATGCAGAGGGAGCAGGTCTATGGGAGAAACAACTTATTTTAAACAAGTGAAGGAAGCCCAGTGTGACTAGAACAAAATGAGTGAGAAGAGTGCAATAGAGTTAGATTGTAGGATAATTAGGGACTTGTAAGTAAAGAATTTGGATTGTATTCTAAGTCCAGTGATAAGCTTTGAAGGGCATTAAGAAGTAAGTGATGTGTTCTGGTTTCCATTTTAATAGGATCATTTGGCTGTTATATGGAGAAAGGATTGGAGGAGGGCAGAAATAGAGGTAGGACGACCATTTGAAGACTGTTAGAGTAGTCAAAGAGAGATCAATGGCTGGTCTAGGGGTGATATCAGTAGAGGTGGAGAGAGATGGATGGATTAAAAATATATGTCAGAGGTAGATTCAACATGACTTACTGATAAAGTGGATATGGGATTGAGGAAAAGAGACAAAACTTGGATGATTCCTAGGTTTCCAACTTGAGCACCTGGGTAGATAGTGGTGCTAATATTCTAAGAAAGAAAAGACTGGAAGAAAATCATGAGCTCAGTGGGACAGTCAGAGAAGTGTGTGAGATATCAGACTGTAGAAGTCGTGTAGGCAGTTGGATGTGAGTCTGGAGCTCGAAGGAGAGAGTAAGGCTCAAAGTAGGAATTTGGTGATCTTCAGCATATAGGTGGTATTCAAGCTGTGAAAATTGGTGCATTTACCTGGGAGCTGGGGCATGGGGAAGAAGTGTAAGGGGGGAGCAAATAAGAGAGCTGACCCACTCTGGGCCTTGAGAGAAACCAGTACTTGGAGCTTGAGTCTTGGAGGAAGAACCAGAAACAGAGACTTAGAATGAGACACCAGTGAGTTTTGAAGAAAAGCAAGACTGTGATACGAAAGAAGCTAAGAGGAGATGTTTGTTTGTTTGTTTTTTTTTTTTTTTTTTGAGGAAGATTAGCCCTGAGCTAACATCTGATGCCAATCTTCCTCTTTTTGCTGAGGAAGATTGCACTGGGCTAACATCCGTGCCCATCTTCCTCTACTTTATATGGGATGCTGCCACAGCATGGCTTGACAAGTGGTATGTCCCTGCGTGCCCAGGCTCGGAACCTGCGAACCCTTGGGCGGCTGAAGTGGAGCGCACGCACTTAACCACTCAGCCATGGGGCCAGCCCCGAAAAGAGATTTTTTTTTTTTTTTGTGAGGAAGACCAGCCCTGAGCTAATATCTATTGCCAATCTTCCTCCTTTTTTCCCCTTTTTCTCCCCAGAGCCCTAGTAGATAGTTGTATGTTGTAGTTGCACATCCTGCTAGTTGCTGTGTGTGGGACGCTGCCTCAGCATGGCCGGACAAGCGGTGTGTCGGTGCGCGCCCGGGATCCAAACCCGGGCCGCCAGTAGCGGAGCGCGCGCACTTAACCGCTAAGCCACGGGGCTGGCCCCCAGAGATGTTTTTTAAAGGGTGACATGGAAGACTACCAGAAAGAGTGGACTGAACACACATTGATTTCCTCTCTCCCCAGACCCCACCAAAGTATCTAAATAGGGCTTTTTTGAAAAGGCATACCGTGCAAGGAGAAATAATGTTGGCAATAACATTTGGGACTTGCCAGGCAGATAGGTTAGTGGTAGCTGATTTTACAGAGCCTGAGAAAACTGAACTGGCAGGCAGAAAAACAGTAAGATACATGGCAGAACCCCCAAATGGCTCAGGAATTAGTGGTACTCGGTACCTCTGGAAGTGGCACAAAGGTAAGATTAAAAACAAGAGTATTGTTTGATGGCCTTTTTAGAGTCCCCAGGTCCCCACTCCTAGTCCGTAGAGCAGGTTATTACCCTTCCTCTACCCCAACAAAAAACTGGAAGTTCATTCTCCGGAGAAGGTAAACGCACTTCCAGATTGAAAGGGCCCACCAAGTACCTGGCATAATGAATGAAGAAAGACCCAGGGATAAAGAGAAGATCCCAGAAGCTTCCAGAGAGAGAAACAGGTCACATACAAAGGATAAGCAATATGAATGGCATCACATTTCTCAGGAGCAGTGAACTAGGTACTGGAAACCAGATGATGATGTAGCAGTGCCTTCAAAATTCACAAGAAAATGATTCCTAGCCTAGTATTCTGTACCTGGATTATCAATCAAGTGTGAAGGTAAACATCAGCCCATCTAAGAAGGAGAATAGATTCGGTCCAGGAAACCGGGGATTCGGATTGATGGTGAAGGGAGACTTAGAGAAGACCAGTCCAGCTTGAACCTTCGGGAGCATTGTCTCCAAGAAGAGAAAATTGGAAAAATATTTAGTGTCTTTCAGTGTTCGCTGTATTTATAGAAGATTCAGATATTTGAGGGAGAGTTTGGAGATGAATTATTAATAAGTACATAGCAAACTAAGCCAGTGAAAAAAAACATGACACTTACTAACTCTAGGAAAAACAAAATGTGCAAGAAAGGAATAGTTGTCGTGGTACATGTCTTGGCTTGAATAATATTTACCTAGATAAATAATGTAAAAACAGAATACAGTCAGCTCTCCATATCTGCGAGTTCTGCATCCATGAGTTCAACCAACAGCGATGGAAAGGCCTACTATGGTTGCATCTGTACTGAACATATACAGAATTTTTCTTATGGTCATTCCCTAAACAATACATTGTAACAACTGTTTACACAAGATTTACATTGTATTAGGTATTATAAGTAATCTAGAGATGACTTAGACTATATGGGAGGATGTGCATAGGTTACATGCAAATACTATGCCATTTTATATAAGGGACTTGAGCATCTGTGGATTTTGGTATCTGCAGGGATCCTGGAACCAATCCCACAAGGATACCGAGGGATGACGGTACTGATCCAACCAAAGGATAAGAGTATCTGTATGGGGAAGATGAGGGACAGGTGGTATGTGTGTGGTTGGGGAGATTGGGGAGTTACAGAGAGCTTCCACTGCAGTCAGTCAATGGATAATGCTTAAATATGAAAATTAAGCAATAGCTTTATAAACATGTTGTTTAGAGATATAACAAAAACAGTTAAATTGGTTGCAAGGATTTCCTCTAGGGAGTGATGGGCGTGGGGGTGGAAGGAAATGCTGATTTTGGTAATAAGATGTATAAAATTATTTGACTCTTTAAGTTGTGTGTGTATGTAGTTTCATTTAAAAAACAAACCAGGGTAATACATAGATTTAGATATTGAATAACAAGGATTATTTTAATGTGGATTATTTTGGTGTGTGTACCTGAAGAAATGCAAAAACACAAAATGCTATTTGGGCAATATATTTTTCAGGGCATCTAATTGCATGAAAGTATATCAGGGAGAGATTAATGATGGCCTGGAGCAATTTGTATTTTAAAATTAGTTTTCAGGAAAATATATGAATCATAGAGATGTGTAACTGATGTATCAATCCATCAATCAGCTAAGCTCTTATTGACATGTACTATTATCAAGCATCATGCTGGGTTCCGTGGGCTGTACAAAGAACTGTAAAGTGTGGTTGGGGCGGTTGATCAAGAAGTCTACAATCCAAACAGAGTTAAAACATAAGCTTACGAAGACTTAAATGATATTCAAGAATGAATAATATGTTTCAATGCCATTACAAACAAATTACAAGATTTCAAAATGGGGGGGATTGTGAAAGATAGACTCACAGACAAAAACATTAAGAAAAGTATTTTTATCCTTCAAGTTTTTACTTTGGAAGAGTCGGACTGCCCAAATACAGCAAACAGCAGATATTGAAAGAAAAATATGACAAGGTTACCAAAGCTACAGTTGGTCTCCTGGTGGAAAACCAGCAATTTCCTCCCTTGCCCATCACATCTGCAAGGGTCATCCCATATCGGCAGCAGATTTGAGAGATAGAGTTGTTTTCATTTAGGGAATTAGATATTCATAGAAAGGACTCAAGTCTTCATTTATTTTGAGGGGATAATGCTAGACAGAGTATTCTTTAAAAAAAAAAAATCTCTGGATCCAAGATGCTTTTGGTTTTTGTTTTTTCCATTGTGGTGTGTGGCGCTTGGTCATAGTGGTGGCAGAGCAAGGTGATTGCTTTGCTTTGTCAGTCCCGCCCCAGTTCCTGCCCCAGACGTGCGATCTACTCACCTAAATTTTGTACAGCAATTTTCTGCTTCAGTTTATTAATTTAATGTCTTATTTCTTGGGCTGTTTTACATTACATTTGTGTAGTAGGTTTTGTTAATTAATATACACAATTCTTCTGTATAGTTAATAAACTAAAGCCAATGACACTAAGCCTCTGGAGTTAGCCTCCGCCTGGAGGTTTTGTAAAGCCTCGAGAATCATAATTTGGTTGTTCTATGAGCCAGAAGTATTTTTATTGTCCTTACTAGTTTGTCTACCAGGAACCAAGAATGATCCATTTAGTCTCTACCAGGTTTCCCCCGCAAAGCCTTCCCTGAGATCCCCAAGTTTGTCAGTGTGTTCCTGTAAAAGACACCCTGACAGCTTTGAGGGTTTGAACGCACTCCACGTCCCTTTGTATCTCCTAGAGTGGCGAAAGTTGGCCCATACACCAGGATGGCCCAAAGGCATCCACACGTCCTCCTCAGCTGTAATGAATGGCCATTTCATTATGTGTAACAATAAGATGCAAGAGAGAAATATAAAATTATGCTCAGTGACTTAGTGTTTTTGTATTTTCTATCCTTGTGAATTTATATCCACTCAGAGATGGTCCACACCCCCAAAGATTATTAATTAATTAACTAATATTAGTTCAAGGTCTTAAAGTTATTAAGGATTTTAGAAATTATGTTTAAGCTGACACGTTATACAGAAACACAATTACTAATGATATATTGAATTTTTCAAAGAGATGACATTTTAATAATTTTACCCAGATAGACATGGAAAATAACTAACATTTACAGTTATCTGAAGTGCCAAAGAACCATCCCTTTTATTCATTTTTTTATTTTTTATTTTTGTGAGGAGGACTAGCCCTGAGCTAACATCCAATGCCAATCCTCCCCTTTTTTCTGAGGAAGAGTGGCCTTGGGCTAACATCTGTGCCCATCTTCCTCTACTTTATATGGGATGCCGCCACAGCATGGCTTGACAAGCTGTGCGTTGGTGCGCGCCCAGGATCCGAACCAGCCAACCCCGGGCCGCCACAGCGGAGCACGTGCACTTAACCGCTGTGCCACTGGGCCAGTCCTGAACCACCCCTTTTAAAAGACATTATTATAATTCAGTTCACTTGAACACACAGATTTTACATTCTCATAAATTTTAATGTTGAATCTTATCAAACCAATAAAACCAGTAAAGGAAATTTAAGAAATTTAAATTAGGCTTTTCTTGAGAACATAAACTAAGTCTTACATAATATAAAAAGTTATGCTTCGAGAGAGAAGACAGCTATTTTAAAACCTAAATTATCAAACCAGTCTGATTTGTCTTATGATTTACCTTAGCTAGGACTACCATAAAAATTTTTCCTTAGTTACCGTGTATTTAAAAAGTAGCTATTGGCACTTTTTTTTTTTATGAGTATCAATTGTCATGAAGCAGAGGAACTGGCTCTAATAGAACCTTCCTCTATTGTAAGAGGTGGAGGAGAGGAGAACAAACCTAGCGAGATTGGAAGATTTGGGGTGCAGAGATGAAGGGCCCCCAGGCGAAGGCTTCTCTTATCACAGGGAGGTGAGAGGCCATCAAGTGAGAGAGAGGGCTGCAAAGGTGTGAGGGAGGAGTTTTCGGAAGATGGCTGGGGTAGGAAGTAGCCATTGGCGTGGAGCTGGGAGTCTCTCGGTGGGCGTCTAGTTAGTGAGTCCCACGTCTTGATGGTGGGCCCTCGTTCAGGAAAGTGTGGGGGCAGACATGGAGTGGGCAGGCGATAGAGCTCACCTACTGTTGAGGTTTCGCCAGGTGGTACCTTTGAGGGAGAGAGAGGGGCAAAGGACCTGAGGGTATTTGCAAAAAAGTGATTATAAAGTAGGTCCACATGTTTCAGGCTGGCCAAAGGAGAAATTGCAGCTGGAAAGGGGCTGATGGAACGAGAGTGAAAGTGAAGGCGGTTGGTTAGAGATGCGAGGGCAGTGACCTGAGGGGCCAGGTGTGCAGAGTTAGTGGTGTGGATTTTTAAAACACCAAAGATCGTGCCAAGGATTGGGGTGGAAGGTAGATTGAGAACCAAGAGCAGAAGTCTTCAGTGCGTGGGTGCATGTGTCTAGAATGTCAGTAGATGACAACAGAGAAAAAGAGGAAAGGCTGGTGAGGCCAGATGGTGTTAGCCTAAAGAGGAAAGGTGACAGTCTGGAGGCAGTAATGGTGTACTCCTCCCTCCTGCCCCTGTCATCCTTAGGACTTGAGACAGAAACAGCCTTTCCTTCCAAGGCCAACAGAGGCAGCAGAATTTAGTTAGGGTCAGATGGTGAGGGGACCATTCCAAGAAGAGTGTAGAAAGCACGTGGGAGGTTTGCACTCGAGGTGGCACAGGCAAGGCCAGGCAGGGGTGTAAGGCGCCTGTCCAGAGCACAGGGGATGAGCAGGGGAGATGGGCAGTTAACATGGTTCGCCTGGACTCAGGGCAGTGACTGAGGTAGGCTGGGAAGTGTGGATGGTGGGATTAGCCATGAGGTCTCTTCTAGAAGGCTGGGGACCAGTGGTGGCAGGATGGTCCTGACCCTTCCTCCTGGAGTGGGGCGGCACTGCGGTGTCCTGGCCGGGTGCATCTTATGCTGCTCGATCATTGACAGGCAGGGAGGGAAGAGCTTGTGAGATAAATCAGCTCTCGCCTCAGTGTTTACTGAGTCCTTCAGTTCTTTCAACAAACATTTGTTAACCGCCTTCTATGTGTTGGGCCCCTGCAGCTGTTGGGGGTGGGAAGAGGAATGAGATGCAGCTGCCACTACTGCAGGCCCTCGGGTTTTCACCCAGGGCATCTGAGAGCCAGGCGCCTGCTGCACCCTTTGCCTGCGCCCTGCCACTGCAGTGCCAGCGGCTTCTCTTCATGAGACTTATTGAGATTGTAGAAGAAGGGGCTCTGCTGTTTAAAAAAAGGAAATTGAAATCATTGGTAGAATCCTAAGATGAATACATCTTTCTTACCTCACAATACCAGTTTGTTTTGCAGAACTAAACTCATCATGTCTCTTGTTTTGGCCATTTCCAACCGTTTCCAGAGTTTGGCGTGTACTGCAGCCACTGCCGGAGTGAGGTCCGTGGCACGCAGTGTGCCATCTGCAAAGGCTTCACGTTCCAGTGTGCCATCTGCCATGTGGCAGTGCGAGGATCATCCAATTTCTGCCTGACCTGCGGGCATGGTGGACACACTAGCCACATGATGGAGTGGTTTCGGACCCAGGAGGTGTGTCCCACCGGGTGTGGGTGCCACTGCCTGCTTGAAAGCACTTTCTGAGCTTACAGACCATGGGAGTTGTCAGAAATCCCAGAGGATCCCATAAATGCCGGTGACAAGCTCCCTGCCAGGAGAGAGGCTCCAGAACCCGTTCCCAACCAGACTGGGGTATGTTCCCCTCACAGACTGCCGCAGCACCAGCTGTCGTGAGCCTGTGCTTCTCTTCTGTATGGCTGTTGGCCGCATGGATGTCACTGGAGGAGGATGAGGGCAGACGTGCAGAGCTGAGTAGCCAGGTGGAAGTTTTCTTGGAGAAAAGCACCTGCCTCCAGAGCAGTGTTTACCTTTAAGGTGTTAGCCTTAAACCACCGAACAGCATCCTATCTGATGCCGTTACAGATACTGAGGTCGGATGCAAAGGACAGTCTCCTGAGCCAAAGGACAGTGAACATTAATTTAGTTAACAAATGGGCCTGTGACATCACTTGGTACATTTAATGAACCGAACCGATGAACAGTGACCTTTTAAAATATGATACTTAAGTTATAAATATATGATGTACTTAAGGATTCTTGATGTATTTTTTGTTTGTTATTTTTCTTCCAGTGGCTCTCTGTTGGCTAATAAAATTCTAGTAAATGTTTAAAAAAAAGGGACAGAGACAGTTGAACAACGTTTGAGTGAATCTTTTTTTACCCTACTTCTAGTTGAAATTAACTCTTTTGAATAGGACCAAAGTCAGTGCTCAGTTTTTCAAAGGAAGTGCTGATTTACTTTTGTTACCTAACAGGAGAAAATAGAATTTGACATTTGAGTTTCTTCCCAACCCCAAGAGTCTTTTAATCATTTCTTTTAGCAAAAGGAAAATGAGATGGCTTCGCAGCTTTGATATTCAAGTCTTCTGTGCCACTGGGCAGGTTGGCTGAGTTCCGGTACGTACCTTCACTCTTCACTTGGGGTCCCTTGCAAACTTTGCCCTGTGTTTATCTGTGTTCCAACTGGTTATGACTCACATGTCCACCAATTCTTCAGAATGATTTTCAACTCTTCACATTTTGTACGTGCCAGAGAAGAGAAATCTTTTTGATATTTTCACTGAAATTTATATTTGTTTCTTAGAATTTTATAATTCCAAATCGATTAACTTAAGAAATATGTCTTAAGAAACATGTCTCAAAATGTATTGTACATCACTGTTTTATTTATTTATTTATTTATTTAAATAATTTTATTTATTTATTTTTTCCCCCAAAGCCCCGGTAGATAGTTGTATGTCATAGTTGCACATCCTTCTAGTTGCTGTATGTGGGACGCGGCCTTAGCATGACCGGAGAAGCGGTGCATCAGTGCATGCCCGGGATCCGAACCCAGGCCACCAGCAGTGGAGCACGTGCACTTAACCGCTAAGTCACAGGGCCGGCCCCATCACTGTGTTTTAAATACGAGTCAGGACCCCATTAATGGACTATGAAATCAATTTAGTGGATAAAAATCAATGTTAAAATAAATGAAATAGGGTAGAAGAGAAATGATCAGAAGGCACCATACATAGTTAGGGTAAATATTGTTTTGTGTAACTTGTTTACGAGTGCTTACACACACACTTGCACACATGTAAAATGGATCACGGTGTAAATTTATTTCTTACTGGAGGTTGTGGTCAAAACATTTTCAAAACACTGTTTTGGATGATGCTCCTTCTTCATCCCCTGTGTTACTGGACACAAAACACCATGACATAAGAAAAGCCTAGATCCTGTGTGTTGAAAGCAGAGGTTTAACCCTGGGCTCTGATCTGAGGTCAGATGCCAGCGTCTCCGCAGAGTGAGCTGAATAACTAGGTGCAGCAGGTAGGCTAGGAAGCTGATAAAGGAGGCGGCCAAGGCAATCTGAATTTGTTCACTCTCTGCTTTCCACTTGCTTGTGTTGATGCTGCTATAATGGCGACCACAGAATAGGTGAACTAATTTACACTGAGATAAAAGATCTGTTGTGTTCCTCAAATCACACCATTTGCAGAGAACAATCTTGTCCTGTTTCCCGCTGCTCAAGCTAACGTAAAAGTCTGTCCCTATCTGTATCCATCAAGAATTCAATGTTTTTATTGTTTTAGTTTATTGTTACAGGAACCTTGTCTTCTAAAACTGGAAAACCTTAATAATGGGTATGAAGAAATTTAAAGCTTAGAACATTACATAATGTCTTCTTTCAGTATGTGTATTCCTTTTGAATTTCCAAGTTACCAGAACAAAAGTCTAATATTTTAAAAATATTAACATTTGGGGCGGGCCCCATGGTGTAGTGGTTAAGTTCTGCGCACTCCGCTTCTGTGGCCCGGGTTTACAGGTTCAGATCCCCGGCGCAGACCTACACCACTCGTCAGCCATGCTGTGGTGGTGACCCACATACAAAATAGAGGGAGATTGGCACAGATGTTAGCTCAGGGCTAATCTTCCTCAAGCGAAAAAAGGGGAAGATTGGCAACAGATGTTAGCTCAGGGTGAATCTTCCTTACCGGAAAAAAAAAAAAATTTACATTTGGAAACATGTTGGTCTGGATACTGGCCATGGTCAGTATTCTTAAGCATCTAAATCCTTTTTTGTCTGTTTTTAAAAATGATACAAGCAACGTTCCAAAGTACCTTTGAACTTGGCAAGGGAAACGGGGCTAGCAGCCTTATTTGTGCACTATCGACAAAAAGATGTGTAGGTGGCCTGCTGGAAAGAATGGGGGAAAGCATGAGCCTTCTGGGCAACCACCAGCTTTATTTCGTGCCCCTGTCCTCAGACCCCCCCTAAAACAAGTGGCTTAATGCTTTTGTTGGTAATGCCACGTAAATAGAGAATCAGTGTTGCTTTAAGAAATTTTTAAAATTTCATCTGATAGAAAAATGCGTTCAGTCTGAAGATGATGAGTTCACATGCTGGCAGCTCCTTGCCTTATTCAGTGATTCCCTGGGTGGCTGGCGGGATTTAGGAGAAAGCTGGTTCCTTTTCAGCGGCTTAATGCAGCAGGAACTTGAGGGAAAGACAGGAGTCGTTCATTTTGTCAGAAGACTGATGCTGTAGCCGCCCTTGGGCTGAAGGGTTGGGGAGCTCATTGGTGGGCTCTATGCAACAGAACAATTTCTTAGATGATTGATTTTGCTAGCCATGGAAAACTAGTTCAGAAAACAGGGTTATATAGAACCCCACTTTATGGCTCACTTTTTCATACCTTCCTTAAAGTTGGAAACTGCAGAAGGGTCTTATACACACATTTGAAGGATGATCCCAGGGAGAAAGCACACACCTCAGTTTCCTCATTCTCCTTAGAACCTACTGTCCTTATCAGAATCAGAAATAAATCTATCAGATTGGCAGTCCATAATACTGGCAAGTTTCTCACCACAGTATTACTGATTTGATATTTTTTTCTTAAATCTAAGAAGGTCTGATTACCTCATCAAGTATTTAACATGAGATGAGCACTTGGACAAAGATGAATGAATATACAGAATGTGGTCTCTGCCCGGCTGGAGCACAGAATCTAGTAGGAATTTAAGTGTTTATATAAATGCTTACAATACAGTGTAAGCCTTTAAGGCTTACATGTACTTGTACAGTGTTGGCCTTTAAGGGAAGGAAGGAGTAACTCCACCGAGGCAGAGAATGTGCAGAGAAGGAGGCTGTGGCTGAGTTTAAGGGCAAGTGTTCTCCAGGTGAGGAAGAGCAGGAAGGCACAGGGAAGGATGAAGCCAAGGATGGGCAAGCAAGCATGGCCCTAGGGGGCACTGTACGTGGTTCCCTACAGGTGGAGCATAGGCTGAGAAAGGAGGCTGGGGAGCAGGGCAGGAGTCAGAGCATCGTGGGCCCTCCACGCTGTGCCAGGGAGTCTGGGCTTTACCTGTAAGCCTGGCCTCATCAGTCTTGCATCATCTGCTGACTGCATAACGGGTATTGCGCACAAATACAGACCACTAATTTTACTTTTTAAAAAATCAGCAGAAGTGTTTAAATGAATCACATCATCAAAGACCATGTCTTTCACCAAGATTTCCTTATATTTAGCTTGATGGCATATAACAATCTATAGGTGAGGTTCCATATCTGGTCTATTTTAATTTTTCTCCACCCCCTCCGTTTAAGTAAGAAAATCTGGAACTCATTATTATAGGTCATTGAGAACACGTAAGCAAGTGTTGGGTGGTTATTGAACACTAGTCGGTGTCCCTGTCTGCAGTCTCTTGATGTTCTTGATATTTTCATATAAAACTCTTGATATTTTTGAATCAAATATAGATGATAAATTATGGGGAAGTTTTTCCCCAAAGACCTCGTTCAGCATTTTCTTTGATGGGCAAACGAGCATATTTCTCAGAAACTGCAAAAGCCATAATAGGATGCCCAATCCCCTTTTTGTTCTGTCGTGACATTTGGCTGTACTTTTAGAAATATGCCTAGTAATAACATGATCTGCTTGTTTCTCTAACAAGTAAAGAAAATCATCAGGTTTTGGGAAGACTCAAATACTAGTCAATCAAGCCACTTACAACACAGTTCATTCTTAAGAACTCCTGATAACCTCAACATTAAAAAACTGTTTTATACTGATATTATTTTGCACTTGGTCTGAAAAGCACTTGATAGATTTTCCAGAGAGGCCATGTATTTAGTTATAAATGATAATGGCCATGATTTGAGGAAATTTCATAAACTACGCACTGGGGAATAGGTGCAAGTGGATAAGCAGTTGAATAAAATCTGATTTCAGGTATTTATCATCACATCTCCTATTCATACTCTTCTTTTCAGTTACGTACTCCACAGGGTTACACTTAAAGATTTGATTGTCCCAACGCATAGAGTCATAGTCTATGTTTTTTCCAAAGTCCGGTTATCTGGTTACATCTAGGGTGTACGCCAAGTGTTGGTTACTACTTTCATCACTTTTTATTTTTCAGTTAACCTTTTTTGAGCCATTAATCCGTTTTTGTAAATTGGAGATATGATACACACTAGTAATAATGAAAATGCAAATTGAATAGACATCATAGTCATTTGATAGACAAGATGAAATGGCCAGCATAGTCTTTATATGCGCACACGCAATCTTTGAGGATGTGATTGAGAACATACTAATTAAGAAATGAGATATTTATTAAAATCATAGTTAATATTATGTGTCCAATTTGAGAAAAAAATATACACCAAATTATTTTATCTTTTTCCTCTGGAAGGCTTGATTATCACAGACCAATTGGGAACACCAGTGGTTTGAGGATCTCACTTAAAAAATAATTGCTGTAGGTGGTGGGGAACCATTGAAGAGTATTAAATGAGAGAGAGAGACATGGTCAGGTTTTAATTTGACCTCATGCAGATTAGAGGTGGAAGGACTGGAAAGGGACACTGGGAAGGGGTCTGTTTCTGTGCCTTAATTAAAACAGTGACAGTGCGAATGGAGAGGAGGGTGAAAGAGTCAAGAGCTCTTTAGGGAGGAGAATGGGCAGGACTGAGCTCAGCCCTGGGTTTGAGGCCACGAGAGGGGTGGCTGATGGCTGTTCCACCATGAGGGCAGACTCCCTTGTTGGCCTCACATCTAGGAGGCCTCACCTTTCCCTTGCCCACAGGCCGCCAGGCTCCGTCCCCATCTCTCCAGTGTGCTTTTGTGTGCTGCTGCTGCTGCTGCTGGGAGTTGCTACCAGGCACCTGAAATGAGGCTTCCTTTGGGGCAAGGAGCCCCTGAGGGGGCCCTTTCCTGTGTTTCTGCCTCCTCCCTAACCACTCACCTCCCAGGCCACAATATCTACCCAGGCTTGCTGGAGCCCCACAACCCCCTGGGCCTGCATGGGGCAGTGTTGAGATGTAGTCCTCCTCATTGTTTGCACCCCTTCAACCCTTCGTTGCACAGGAGGAAGGAACAACTACAGCCCAGAGAGAGGGAAAGTAATGTCTCAGCTTAGACACGGGTCTGTTACTTGACCCACACATTTTTAAGAGACGATTTTTATCTCTTTATTGTTTTTTCTAATTATAGAAACATTTTAAATTTTGTTACTATTTTGTCCTCTCCACCCTGTCCCCATGTGATTTTCTAAGCAGGGTTTATTTTATTTTCGCAAATCAGAAAAATACAGACACACAGGCAAAAAGAGATGACAACAGTCTCCTTATTAAGAAAATGTATGGTCAGCCTCTGTGCTGCTTCCCAG